ATGTAGTCTACGATGGCGCAGCGTAGAACGCGAAGAGCGTCGCGAGTCGCAGCCTCCCTGGCGCACCGACCTTTGAATTGGAAAGTGATCCGAGACTCGGCCTTGGTACACCATCGAGGAGCGGCCATTGGTGTTGTAGAGTTTGATCATGTTGATGTAGCCTGGCCCGACTCCGTACGCTCTGAGTGCAGCATACAGGAAGTCGTGTGAGACCTTGTCGAACGCCTTGGACGCGTCTGTCATGGCAATCACTCCAGGGGTTTTGATGGTGTTGCACAGATCAATCACATCTCGGGTGAGATGGACGCAGCCATCGATGGTCCGAGAGGTGACAAAACCGTTTTGGTTGAGTGGTATGATGTCGTTGACCACCAGCTGCAGCCGAGCGATCACTGCTTTGGTCAGGAGTTTGAAGTCGCAGTTCAGCAGCGAGATTGGTCGGTAGTTGCCAAGGTCAGAGCGCGGGCCTTTCTTGTACAGCAGCTTGACGAAGCCGTCCTGCATGTATTCCGGAAGGCGACCATTTTCGAGCGAGCGGTTGGCGATGGCGGCGAGGATTGGGGCCAGCTCGTGCTTGAACTTCTTGTAAAACGCAGTGCCCAGCCCGTCGGGCCCTGGGGACTTGCCAGATGCAGTTTTGTTGATGGCGTGGACGATCTCCCATGCCTCCAGCGGTCTGCTCATCAACTCGTGGTCCTCGTCGTCGAGCATCTCGTTGGGCTTTGCATGGCTGAGGATGTGCCGGGCAGCTGCTGGGTCAATGGGTACGTGCGCATAGAGCTTAGCGTAGAAGTCACGCTGGGCGTCTGTGATGCCGGCCGCATCGGTGACTTCTTTGCCGTCGACGAGGAGCATTGGGATGTGCGTCGCCTTTTGGGACTGCTTTTCGAGCGAGAAGTAGAAGGAGGTGGGGTGTTCGCCCTCGGTGCGCCACTTTTTGGCCGAGCGGACTCGTGCTCCTTGCGCGCGATGCTCGAGCTCAGCTTTGACACGGGCTTCCTGCTCCGCTCGTTCGGCTGCAAGCAGTTTTGCCTCTGCGGGGGAT